TCTTTCCCTTTGTTTTTTCTTGTTCTCAACTGCTGTGTCCTCCAGAGGCTCGCTGTGTGCAGGCGTTTGATCAGTCAGAACTGCCCTGGAGGGACATGGGTGGAGTTTGCTGTGCAGGGACAGGACAGCAGGCCAGAGCTGGGCATTGGCATGCAAAGAACCTCCTGCTGTCTTGGGAGAAGAGAATAGGAAGTATCTCGGCTTCTTTCATGCCTGTCTTCACAGTATATGGTGCAACTTGACGGGAACACTGCTTATGTTTTGGCTCCTGCCTCTTTGGCCTGCTTTATCTCTTGTCACTGCTGTTGAAGGGAAGCTCATTCCAAGGACTGTGCCTGTGCCTTGGGTTTTGCTTTGTGCTTCAACTTGTTTACTGAGTTTTGGTCTTTAGCTCCTTCCCATGCAGTGCTGCTGGAGGGACTGTGTGCCACAAGCCCAGCTGGTCCATCGCATGACCCTGGAACTCTTTGTCTGTGTTTTGGTGACCCATGCTTTGAACTGGGGGGGAGACTGGCCTTCTCTCATCACACCTCTCCCATTCTAGCATTTAATGGAACAGGATCTGTTTTTTTCAGGTGAAACTTGTGCGGCTCGTGGGAATCATGCTTCTCTTGTATGTGAAAGCAGACCTTGCTTTGAACATCTCCGAGGTGGAGGTTGAGACTGTGGGAACTGGAATCATGGGGAGGATGGTAAGAAAGGCAGCTGTGGGGTGAGATTTGGAGGAGCCATGGTGAGCCCCTCTCCTTAGCTGCAGTGGTTACTCCTTTGGAATACCCTCTGGAAGCATGTTGTCCTGCTCCTGTGCCAGCTCAGGTGTTGCTGGAGGGAATCGCCATGTGCTCACAAAGGCCCAAAGACCCTGAGGGGGAATCTCCTCAACAGGCTGTGTTCTGCTTGCGTGTGCTGGGTTGCCTGAGGCCTTGCTTTTGTGTCATTTGGATGCTGGCTGTGATTTGGTCCAAAGCAAAAAACACAAGGAAACACAAGTAGAAGAAACATCTCTATTCAGATTAGTTTTCCTGAGGAGGTCTTCCTTGCCTCTTGCCATTCCACACCACTGGAACGAAGTCTGTGCCCTTTAAATGTAGTTTCTCTGAATGCTGCAGCTATCGCTTGTCCAAGGTATTTTTTACCAGCAAAGACATGTACTTCTTCCTCAATTTGCCATTTTTTTAATGGTTTATGTTGAAAGATCCAGTTTATTGCTAAACAGCTTTTGGAACTTGCTGAAGTAACTGACCAGCTCTCTTACTGATTTTAATTTCCTTCTCTATTAGCTAATTTCTAAATTACAGACTGAGTTCCATGTGCTTGCTTGCTGTGTTCTGTGCAGTGTGCAACCCCCTCATGAGTCACTAACCGGAATTCATGAAGTAGTTATCAATGGTTGGCCTTTTTGGCCTTTTCCTTCCTCTGGAAGGAAGCAGTTTACCTCAGTGTCTTCTGGCTTGTAACTAATTTGTGGATTCATCTGTTGTGTAGGAGCTTCTGACCAACATCTTTGTCTTTATCTTTCAGGGCAACAAAGGTGGTGTTGCCATAAGGTTTAAATTCCATAACACCACTGTGTGCGTTGTGAATTCTCACCTTGCAGCTCACACAGAGGAATACGAGCGGAGGAACCAGGACTTCAAGGACATCTGCTCTCGGATGCAGTTCTGCCAACTGGATCCAAATTTGCCCCCTCTCACTATTGGCAATCACGAGTATGATTCCCCTCTGACTGAGCAGTTGTGTGTGGTGGGGAAGAACCTTATGAGCATGCTGGGGTGTGGGGTTCTCCCAGCAGGCGTATGGGAAGGTGCCCAGTGATCTGATGGTCAGCCTGGAAGGGCTAGAAATGCTTTACGATAACCCTGGGCTGGAGAGTGGTCACCTACACAGTTCTGACAAGTCACTTGCTGCCTCATGCTCTCTCAGACCTTGTTTTATTTTCAAGCCTGAAGTGAGAATGGGGCAGTAATACTCATTGGTTTCCCCAGTGGGTTGTGGGATTTAGTCTGTCTGGAATATTAAAAGCACCAGTTTTTAAGGTAGTGACAAACGTCCAGAACAGTAATTTAAAACAAAGGCAGAAAATGTAGCTTCTCTTTCAAGTGTTGAGTGCTAGTCGTTCTCTGTGCTGGAGAAGCAGACACAGCATCCACGTGGTGGCGTTGAGATGAGCAGAGCTGATGCAGGCGCTGCCGTGGGGTTGTGTCCTGCGCTCTGGGCACCCTCAGGCCTCTGTTCTACCTCTGGTGTCTGTTCTCTTTCAGTGTGATATTGTGGTTGGGTGATCTCAACTATCGGCTGGAGGAGCTCGAGGTGTCAAAAGTGAAGCAGCTGGTAGATGAAAAAGCCTTTATAGACCTTTGCCAATATGACCAGGTACTGATGTCTCGCCTGCCTGCGTGTGGTGCTGAGGGTGTATCTCACACCCTCCAGAACCTCCACATGCTCCTCGGCCTTCTCAGTGCTGACCTTCTCCCTGTTAGCCAATGTGGGAATTGCGCTTGAATTTATTTAAAATTAAATGTTTTGCCTTTTTTTTCTTCCCTAGCTAAGGAAGCAAATGAATGCAAAAGCAGTCTTTGAAGGATTCACAGAGGGAGAGATTTCTTTCCAGCCAACATACAAATATGATCCTGGCTGTGATGACTGGGACACAAGGTACGGTGGTGGCCTCGTGTGGTGCTGGCAGTGGCTGTTATCCTTGAAGGAACAAAGCTAAAAAAAATTGCAGATCTAATGGCTATAAGCAGGAACAGTTCTGAGACTATTGCTCTTCCCCTCCCTTGGTTCCGAAATCCATCTCCAGTTTACCTCCATTTGTGTTGCTTTTCTTCCTCCTTTGTTTGCCAGATATTCCTGATCTTCTTCCTAGGAATACTATATTTGATATCCTCATAGCTAGAGGTGTACAAAATTAAGGTATTGTTTTTGTTTAATTCTTTATGTTTGGTTTGGGTTTTTAGGATCTTTTATTTGCTGATACCTGCTGTACCTCCTCAGGTCAGATCAGCTGGGACTCAAAATGGTGTATTTGTGCTGTCTGTAGCTAAGCGTGTTCTTTAAAAGACTGCAGGAACCCTCGTTCCTGTGATGCACCACAGAGTGCCTGACCTCTTCTCAGTAAGCTGTGAGTGTTGGCTGCAAGTGTCGGCATGAAATCTGTGCAGCAGGCAGTGAGAAAAAAGAAATGAAAACATGAACTTTAAATGTAGAGCCTGAGTTCTTATTTTTTGTGTTGCTTATGATTATTATGTTTTATTATTATGTTTTGTGCAGGGGCTGATGAGGGGCAAGTTGAAAGTCTGTGGGTAAGAATTAAGGGGCAGGCAGGCGTGGGTGACACAGTTGTGGGGGTCTAATACAGACCTCCTGATCAAGGTGAGGAGGTTGATGAGGCTTTCTACAGGCAGCTGAAAGCAGCCTCACAACTACAGTCCCTGGTCCTCATGGGAGATTTTAACTACCCTGACATCTGCTGGAAGACTCACACAGCCAACCTTTCACAGTCTAGGAGGTTCCTCCAGTGCATTGATGATAACTTCTTAATGCAAATGGTGGACAAGCCGACTAGAAGAGGAGCGCTGCTGGATCTCGTACTAACCAACGAGGAGGGCCTTGTTGAAGCAGTGGTGGTCAATGGCAGCCTTGGCTGCAGTGATCATGAGATGGTGGAGTTCAGGATCCTGTGTGGAAGGAACAAAATACCCAGCAGGACCAGAACCCTGGACTTCCACAGGGCAAACTTTGGTCTCCTCAATCATCTATTAAGGGAAATCCCATGGGACAGGGTGCTAGAAAATAAAGGAGCTCAAGATAGCTGGTCAACATTCAAGGACCACTTCTTGCAAGCACAGGATCAGAGTGTCCCAATGGTTAGGAAATCTAGTAAGGGTGCTAGGAGACCTGCATGGTTAAAGAAGGAACTACTGGGCAAACTTAAGTGGAAAAGGAAAATCTACAGATCATGGAAGGAGGGGCTGGTCACGTGGGAGGAATATAGGACTGTTGTCAGAGGATGTAGGGAGGCAATTAGGAAAGCTAAGGCCTCCTTGGAACTTAACCTTGCAAGTCAGGTTAAGGATAATAGAAAGGGCTTTTTCAAATACATAGCTAGCAAAACTAGCAGTAGAGGCAATATTGGCCCATTGAGGAATGAGGTGGGAGCCCTGGTGACAGAGGATATAAAGAAGGCAGAGGTGCTGAATGCCTTCTTTGCCTCTGTCTTCACTCCTGCAGGGTCTCCCTATGAGCCCCAGATTCATATAGCCCCAGAAGAAGTCAAGATAGAGGAAGAGTTTGACATGGTAGATGAGGATTGGGTTAGGGATCAGTTGAGTAATCTGGACATCCATAAATCAATGGGTCCAGATGGAATGCACCCAAGGGTGCTGAGGGAGCTGGCGGAGGTCATTGCTAGGCCACTCTCCATCATCTTCAGTAAGTCATGGGCAACAGGTGAGGTGCCTGAGGACTGGAGGATAGCAAATGTCACTCCAGTCTACAAGAAGGGCAAGAAGGAGGACCCGGGTAACTATAGACCGGTCAGCCTCACCTCCATCCCTGGAAAGGTGATGGAACAACTTGTTCTTGTGACTATCTCCAGGCACATCAAGGACATGGGGGTCATCAAGAGCAGTCAGCATGGTTTTATCAAGGGTAAATCATGTTTGACTAACCTCATAGCCTTCTATGAGGAAATTACTAGGTGGATAGATGATGGTAGAGCGGTAGATGTGGTTTATCTTGATTTCAGTAAAGCATTTGACACCGTCTCCCACAGCATCCTTGTAGAAAAGTTGATCAGGTATGGGTTTGGTGATCAGGAAGTGAGGTGGATTAGGAACTGGTTGAAAGGAAGGAGTCAGAGAGTTGTAGTCAATGGGGCAGAATCTGGTTGGAGGTGTGTGACTAGTGGAGTCCCACAGGGGTCGGTACTGGGACCGGTGTTGTTCAACATCTTCATCAACGACCTGGATGAGGGTATAGAATGTACCCTCAGCAAGTTTGCTGATGACACTAAGCTGGGAGGAGTGGCTGACACACCAGAAGGCTGTGCTGCCATTCAGAGAGACTTAGATAGGTTGGAGAGTTGGGCGGGGAGAAACATGATGAAATTCAACAAGGGGAAGTGCAGAGTTTTACATTTGGGGAAGAACAACACCATGTCCCAGTACAGGTTGGGGGCTGAACTGCTGGAGAGTAGTGTAGGTGAAAGAGACCTGGGGGTCCTGGTAGACAGGAGGATGACCATGAGCCAGCAATGTGCCCTTGTGGCCAAGAAGGCCAATGGCATCCTGGGGTGTATTAGAAAGGGTGTGGTTAGTAGGTCAAGAGAGGTTCTCCTCCCCCTCTATTCTGCATTGGTGAGGCCACATCTGGAGTATTGTGTCCAGTTCTGGGCCCCTCAGTTCAAGAAGGACAGGGAACTGCTTGAAAGAGTCCAGCGCAGAGCTACGAAGATGATTAGGGGAGTGGAACATCTCCCTTATGAGGAAAGGCTGAGGGAGCTGGGTCTCTTTAGCTTGGAGAAAAGGAGACTGAGGGGTGACCTCATCAATGTTTACAAATATGTAAGGGGTGAGTGTCAGGGAGATGGAGTTAGGCTTTTCTCAGTGATGACCAGTGATAGGACAAGGGGTAATGGGTGTAAATTGGAGCATAGGAGGTTCAAGGTAAATATCTGAAAAAAAATTTTTACTGTGAGAGTGACAGAGCCCTGGAACAGGCTGCCCAGAGAGGCTGTGGAGTCTCCTTCACTGGAGACATTCAAAACCCACCTGGATGAGTTCCTGTGTGATGTACTCTAGGTGACCCTGCTCTGGCAGGGGGAGTTGGACTAGATGATCTTTGAGGTCCCTTCCAACCCCTAAGATTCTATGATTCTATGATTCTATGATTAAAGGAATCTCTGAGTACTGCACTGTGTGTTGATTCTATCAAAAGAGCAAAACAAATAATTGCATATTTTAAGAAGTAGAAGCATAATATAGATACATGCAAGAGCAGACAGGCAAACTTTGTGGAAAATACAACTTTGGTAGAGAGCTGCTCCAGGCTATGTCATGAAAACGGAGTCTGGGAGAGCAGAGACTGCCTTGCATTGTTAGTCCACCTGAACTGTGCCTGAAAACTGTAGTTTCTTGCCTCTTTTAGTGAAAAGTGCCGTGTTCCAGCGTGGTGTGATCGGATCCTCTGGAAGGGGCAGAACGTTGCTCAGCTGAGCTATCGCAGCCACATGGCTTTGAAGATCAGTGATCACAAGCCAGTCAGCTCTGTATTTGATATCGGGGTAAGAACCTCAGTGCTGCAAGAAATAGCTCTGCTGACCTCTGTGGGGAGGGGGCGGGAGGAGGGAGGTTCTGCTGATGTCCTTTTACTGCTTTTATGGCCTCCACAGAGAACAATAGCTTAAAAGCTCGGCTGGATAAGATACTGAAATAGGATTGTTGTTCCTGGTAAGCTAGGGTTGAGCGAAAGGATACTTCAGCTGGGCAGTATAATGCACAAATAGGTGTTCAGAATTGTTCCTTTGCCTTTTTTAGGTATTTACCTTATAATTTTCACAGAAACTTGCAGTGTGGAAGTGCTGCATCATTGACAACACAGTAGTGCCTTGTCAGACTTTTTTTTTTTTTTTAAAGAAAAAAAATTGCTGCTCTAGTATTGAGTGGGTGACTGTCTCTCGAGGTAAGACAAGGTCCTTGGCTGTGGGTCCCCATGAAGTCTCAGAGTGCTCCCAGGAGTCTATTCATTACATGTGTTGTACCCACTAGCGTGCTGCTAAATTCCAGTTACTCTGTATACGTCCAGCTGTATTTCAGCTCTTTTGCAGAGGCACAGTAAGTGCCAGTTGTGTGTCCTTTTCAGGTGAAGGTTGTGGATGAGGAGCTGTATCGAAAAGCCTTTGAGGAAATCGTGCGCTCCCTGGACAAGCTGGAGAATGCCAACATTCCTTCAGTGACCCTGTCCCAGAGAGAGGTATGTTCATATGCTGTCCCTTGCAAGGGAAACAGAGGAACCCTGGGCCCCAGAAGTGTATTTCTGCTGTAGAGCTACAGAAGATGGATTCTAGATCCCGGGGTCTGGTCCCAAAGAAGCAGACTGTTTTGACTTCCAGCTGTTCTCTCTTGACAAGCCCTAGAAATACTTGTTCAGATGCAGGTAAATGCCAGTCGCAGTACCAGCCTGAAACGTAGGGCACATTACTCCGTGAGGGTGGGGGGAGAGAGATAAAAAGGGTAGTTTGCAGCCCTTGACCTGACTTGTTCTTTGAAACAAAATGTAAAACATGAAGGATTTGGATGTCACAAAACTGGCATTTGCTTTGTGTGTAGGGGACTAAAAGAGAGAAGCAAATGAGACATTTAAGGCTGCAGCTATCTTGTTCTCAAGTTTCATTGGGGTTATTTGAGGGGAGCATGTGTTTTAAAGGACCCGGTGAGGCAAAGGATTTAGCATACTGTTGCGAGCCGATGCCAGGGGGGCTATTGGCTCTCAGGATGCTTTCACGACTTCCCCCCACCCCCAATTTGGAGAGGTTGCTGAATAAGACCGAGGGCTCACACGTGGCATTCACCTCTCACAGAGGAACCGTGACTGCAGGGACCGTATTTTACCATTAGAATATGCCCCATCACGCTCACAAATTGCTTTTGAGACCAATGTTTAGTTTATGAATTAACTGGTTTATTAAGGGTTAACACAAACTGTAGGATGACATTTAGGGAAAATGTAAAAATGGCAAATGGCTACCAGGGATATATATCAGGGAAGTAATGTGTCCTTTAGGAAGGTAATGCAAAAAGTACTAAGGCCTTCTCTCTGAGAGAGGGTTGTGGATTAAAGCGAGGGAGGAGTTGAACCCGGGCAGGACAGTTACAGTGTGTGTGTGCGCGCGTGCGTTTGCCCTTCTGTAGTGTGTGGCTCCTGGGATGCGGCGTCTTTTCCAGCTGGCCGGGCTCAGTAGCAGGTCCGTAGGGGGTGGGTAACAGAGGGGGCCCCCCAGCAGCAGGTAGACAGGCATTCGCGGCTCCAATCCCAGGGCAGGTGGACCGGGCAGGCAGCTATGCAGCATGTCGCAATCCGTAGTTTTGGGGGGCAGCCCCTTGCGGTGCGGCAGCCGCGGCAGCAAAACGGGGACGACGACTCCGGCCCCGACCTCGACGGCTGCAGGAAGGACCCGGTGCTCCAGGGGTTTGAACCTCTGCACGCAGGGGTCAGAATCCCGGCACGCTCACCGCTAAGCCTCAGGCTCAATCCCCGGGGCAGGCAGGCAGGCCAGCAGGCCCGGCAGAGCCCCTGCACCAGGCTCGCAGCAGGGGCCATGTCCCACAAAGGAAGCGTCCGAGCAGGCCTTGGTCCCACCTGCTGCACTCGCCGCCCTTTTATGACCCATCTGTTCAGCCAGTGTCACTGTCCAGAGCCAATTGGCATCCATGAGCCCCAAGTTAGGACAGCAACTAGCAGGGCAATGCATAACTTGTTGCCCATCCTTCCTGCCTTGTATCACACCTGTTGTTTTGCTTTCTTTTGTCCTTGAGCAGCAAGCCTATTTTTGGTCCATTAGCTGGGTATAATCAATAGAAAGCCTTTGCTGACTTAAAAGGCATTTGCTTAGACTGATGTGGGGAAGAAAAAGAACCGTTACCCACACATACAGAATGAGTAAATGTAATCCTTGTAATCCTCGCAGAGATGGGTGCAGGAGCAAGAGGGTTAATCTGGGTATCTTGCTGCTTGATGATTAAACCACAGGGCAGGAATTGCTGCTGGTGGTTGGCAAGGTGGAACTAGCTGATGATGTTCACTGACATTTGTTCCTAGTTCTATTTTGAAGACGTAAAATACATGCAGCTGCAGGTAAAGAAGTTTACAATCCGCAATGGAGAAGTGCCCTGCCAGTTTGAATTTATCAGCAAACCAGATGAGGAAACATACTGCAAGGAGTGGCTGATTGCTAATCCCAGTAAGGGCTTTCTGCTCTCAGGTGAGCTTCTAGTTGTTCATCTCATGTTAATGACCTAATATTGTCACCTTCTGGCTTCGTTTTCTCTATTTTGAGAATACTGTGCCTTAGAATGCAGACTTACTGATTTAAAACCTTTTTTTAAAGTGGATTTTTTATCATCTCCTGGCAGGTGCTGAGATCACAGTTGAGTTGGAGGTGTTTGTTAATAAATCAACAGCTACCCATTTAAACTCAGGAGAGGAAAAGCTTGAAGATATCTTGGTCTTGCATCTTAACAGGGGGAAGGATTATTTTCTCTCTGTAATGGGAAACTACTTGCCAAGTTGCTTTGGGTCTCCCATTCATACGCTGTGTCACATGAGGGACCCAATCCAGGACATGTCGGCAGAATCTATTCGCAAACTTGTGAGTTAAAGACAAGATTCCTTTCCAAACACACAAGAACCATTAAAACTAGATGTTAAGTCCTGTTTATCACCAAAGAGCCTTCTTCCAATCCCCTGGTCGCTAGTCTGAGAATGCTAGTACAGCTTGCCTCTCCAGTGCACCATCTTCACACCTGGCAATAGGTCTTCCCATGGATGAACCTACCCATTTTGTGTAGAGAGCACTGAGAGTCAGATCCCCTTTGCCTGCAGACCTGAAAAGGTGTGCAGCTGGAAAACATAGATCTCTTTCCTGGAGCCTTTCTCTGCATTGAACAGAGCTGTGTGTGTGAGGGCTGGTGTGTCACTGCCACAGGGTGGGGTGTATATGAAGAGCCTTTTGTAGAGCAGCTTGTTTCTTCTGTCTGAACTGTTGATGTGAAAGTGCCTGTTATATGAGTCTTGTGTAAAGACGGGTGAGTGAAGCTGCAGAGTTTCTGAGCAAGTCGTAATTCTTGGGTATAAGCTCTGGGAAGCATTTTTGCAAGAACTTGGCTAGCTACCTTTTTATCCCCTCCCCACATCTCTGTCTCGCAGATCCTGCTGCCTCTAGAGATGAGCGATGATGCTGTTGAAGCTGAAAAGCCCATGGATGTTCCAAAAGAGCTGTGGACAATGGTGGATCATCTGTACCGCAATGCTTCCCAGCAGGTCGGCAGTGTTTTTTTTACTGGAAACGCACTGTGACTTGTTTGCCTTGGGTTTAGTTCTGAAGAACCTGGTAATGGCAGTTGTTGCTGCCTGTGGATGTTTGGCTGATGGTAGAGAGAACTAATAGGCTGTGATCAGTGATCCTGGAGCCCTGGGCTCTCCTGTTCCATGATGGTGTCTTTGACTGGCATGCATCAGCAGCTGTCTTGCATTGCTCTCAGCTGCAGTGCCACAGCCTTACTAGAGCTGCTACTGTTGGGATTTGTGCTGAGAATTACTGGTTAAGAGAGATTTTTTTCCAGCCAGCTTATAATGACATTGCTGTACTTACCCAAATAACTTTTATCTTCCTCCAGACTGACTAACAGTGTGCTTTGCAGGAGGACCTGTTTCAGCAACCAGGCCTCAGATCTGAATTTGAACAAATCCGAGATTGTTTGGACAAAGGAATGCATGATACCCTTCGTATCCTTTTAAACTGATGTCCAGTGAGGTTCCCTGTGCCTCAGTAACCAAAGCTAAAAAAGATGTTATCACTGTGCTCCACCATTTGTTTTAAATTGCCATCTCTCCACTTGGGGTAACTGACACCTGCAGTTCCCGCTGCTCCATGTGTGGGTGCAAGTGCCTTTGTGAGGACCTCGCCATGGCGAGGAGTCTGATTTTCCCAAGTGTTCGATAGCCAGCGGGAGAGCTTGCTGTGTGAGGCCAAGTGGTTTAAAAGCTGTGAGGAACAGGAGGAGCTCTTGGAGACCCAGGCAAAGATTAGTATTTCAGCAGAAATACAACCGAAATAGATCACACTGTGCTTGCTTCTTCCTTAACCATCTCTGGATCAGTTGGCAACAATCACTCAGTAGCAGAAGCCCTGCTGCTCTTCCTGGAGAGCCTGCCGGAGCCCGTCATCTGCTACAGGTTCTATAGCAGCTGTCTGGAGAGTGCTGGCAACTACCTGCTGAGCAGCCAGGTACCACCAACTTCCCTGTGAGACTGCTCCTGTAATTCCAGAGAGGGAAGGCCATCTCCTTTATTCTATACCAGTGATGGACTTTTGCTCTCAGAGATTTAACCATCTGATAATAGAAAGGATTTTGAAATGGTGCTTCTTGGTTATTCAGAGCAGTTAGTGTTTGCAGACAGGGTGACGTTGGTAGTAGATGAGGCTTCTAAGTCGTTGCCATGTCTTCAGTATAAATGTTGGGTTTTTTCCTCCTCCTCAGATCATCTTTAACCTGCCAAGGTGCCATAAAAATGTGTTTGAGTATCTAATGGCATTTCTACGAGAACTACTGAAAAATTCAGGGAAGAACCATTTGGATGTGAATATCCTTGGTAAGGCGAGAACAATAACTGTTCTATTTAGAGGGGGTTTAGCAGCATGTGTAACAAAGCACTTTATTCCAAGGTGACTGTTGTTGTGGCCTCTGCTGGTCTGAGGCATTTACTAACGAGCAAACAGTCCAGAGAAACACAGTCACTGGAGTGGCCTGAAAAGAGTTGTCTAGTGGCTCCAATCTGTGTGGGCCATCAGCCTTGTCATACCCTGCTCTGGAGCTGGGCACTCACACTTTGATCGGGGTTGGTGGGATTACCCTGGGCATCCTCTGCTGTTGGGCTCTCACTGTGAGTCTGTGGTATTTTGTTTTTAATGCAGCTAGTATATTTGGTGGCTTGTTACTTCGACCTCCTCCTGGACATCCTACACCTGATATAACCGAGAAGAGGAAAGCTCAGCAATTTATCCAACAGTTCCTTTTGACAGAAGACAATTCACCATGAATTTCAGATGCAGCTAATCTAATTTTTAGATATTAAATTACTGTAAATATATATTTTTTTTGTACAGTGTACTGGCTTTAAAAAAATATCACAGTATTTTATACAATCTGTTGCTCTTCAAGATCAGGCAGTTTGACAGCTGTCACTGTTAAAGCTGTACAGTGTATCAAATTTCTAAACAAGCTGTATGTCGACAAGCAAAATATAAAAGCTGATTTTTACACTGTACTTTATTTAACTTGTATTAAAACTCTCTGAATTTTTAAGTCCTTGTTATTTAACTAGAAAAATGTTGGTGCATTTTGGTGGTCTGGATGATCAGGTGGTGAGGTGTATTGTGAACTGGTTGAAAGGAAGAAGTCAGGGAGTTGTGGTCAATGGGACAGTCTAGTTGGAGGTATGGGACTAGTGGAGTCCCTCGGGTTGGTATTTTAAATATTTTCATCAGTGACTTGGATGAGGGAACAGAGTGTACACTCAGCAGGTTTGCTGATGACACAAAACTGGGAGGAGTGGCTGACATACTAGAAGGCTGTGCTGCCATTGAGGGAGACCTAGACAGGCTGGAGAGTTGGGTGGGGAGAAACTTAATAGTGCAACAAGGACAAGTTTTGCATCTGCGAAAGGACAACCCCATGTACCAGTACAGACTGGGGGCTGACCTGCTGGAGAGCAGTGTAGGAGAAAGGGACCTGGGGGTCCTGGTGCACAGGAGGATGAGCATGAGCAGCAATGTGCCCTTGTGGCCAAGAAGGCCAATGGCATCCTGGGGTGTATTAGAAAGGGTGTGGTTAGTCGGTCAAGGGAGGTTCTCCTCCCCCTCTCTTCTGCCTCGGTGAGGCCACATCTAGAATATTTTGTCCAGTTCTGGGCCCCTCAGTTCATGAAGAACAGGGAACTGCTGGAAAGAGTCCTGTGCAGAGCCACAAAGATGATGGAGTAGAACATGTCCCTTATGAGGAAAGGCTGAGGGTCTCTTTAGTTTGGAGGAGACTGAGGGTGACCTCATCAACATTTGTAAATATGTTAAGGGTGAGTATCAGGAGGATGGAGCCAGGCTCTTCTCAGTTCTTTACTGTGAGAGTGACAGAGCACTGGAACAGGCCGCCCAGAGAGGTTGTGGTGTCTCCTTTGCTGGAGACATTCAAAACCCACCCAGACACATTCCTGTGTGATGCACTCTAGGTGATCCTGCTCTGGCATTGGAGTTGGACAAGATGATCATTTGAAGTCCCTTCCAACCCCTAAGATTTTGTGGGTTTTTTTCCAGCCTGGTTGCCCTGGTGGCCAGTGCAGGAAGCTGGTTTGCTGGCAGGGGGGAGTCAGGTTGAGTAGGCCTGTGGCAGCCCCTGTGCCAGTTTTGGGTGGCAGCTGAGGTGTGATAGGAACTGGTCCTGTCCTGTATGACCAAGACCAGGAGTGAGGTGGATGGGATCTCATGGAGGTAAGAGACTGACTTTATTTTATAAGCCTGTTCTGGACAGTGTGTACAGGTTGGGGACAGAGGCAGGCGCTGCCATGAGCAGTGAGATCTCTGGCCCAGCCCCATCAGCCACCACAGCTCTTCTTAGTCTGGGCTTCATGAAAGGAGGTATTTGGCAATTTTGGATCTTGATGAAGAGTTTGAAAATACAGTGAGGTGTGGAGGTGTTTGGGTCTGTTGCTGGTGCCTACGGTTGTTAACAGGGCGAGTCTGACTTGCCCTGGGGGGATCCTGAGACTTTATTTTGAAAACGCTGAGGTAGAAATTTGAGTATGAAGGAAAACGTAGCTTTTTGTGTTCTGCTTCCCCCTTCTGCTAATTAGGTACTAAATGGTTATTTTTTTTCTGTCGCGTAACTATTTCGATACTACTTCCGATGCTACTTATTTTAACACTGGCTCTTCCGCAGCTGCGGCTGCGGGCGGGGCAGCGCGGGGGGGCGGGACGTCGCGGGACAGGGCGAGGG